TATGTAAATAATTATAATTTTTAGTTTGATTTTATTCATTTTAAATTGACAAATTGTTTATATTTTTAGGGTACAATGTGATGTTTTGATCTATGTATAAATTTTAGTAAGATTCAAACAAGCTAATTAATATACCACGACCTTACCATATCATTCCAAAAGTGGAATTCAACTATCCCTTTAAAGTGCTGTTCCTATGGCTTGTTGGAAAGGGATGGAGACATTTTTTGCATCTCTTTTTCATGTTCACGGTACATGCAAATCATTCTATGGGGTAAAAATAGCAGGTGATAGACCACCTGTTTCACGGCACTACCCAGAGAGTGCTCAAGGTCTTCAATACTGTGTGTTTTCTGCCAGTCATAAAGCTTTAGGAGTTACAGTAGATAGTAGAGAACATCTTGGTCAAGATCACTTCATCAGTGATTTAGTAATTCCATCTGATTTTCCCTAACTTTTTCTAATGTATATGTGAAAAATATTTTTACTTTCTTATTTGGGGCTGAATTATACAGTCTTACTTTGTTGTAAAACTTGATTTCAAACTTCCTCATCAAGGAAGAATATCATGAATTCCAAAATCAAGGGTTATAGATCAGTGATATTTACAGTACTAGTTAGGTACTGTATAGATTGGACAATAAATTTTGGAAGATTTTATTTAAAATATAATGTCTAGGCACAATGGCTCTCACTTGTAATCCCAGCACTTTGGGAGGCTGAGGTGGGAGGATCACTTGAGCCCAGGAGTTTGAGACTGCAGTGCACTCCAGCCTGGGCGACAAAGCAAGACCCTGCCTCTAACAATAAATAAATAAAGTATGTACACACACACACACAGAGGAAATGTGTTACCTTTTAACTACTGCAATTGATTTGAACCAAATTTTAAAAATATAACCTTAAAAGAATTAAGTATTCCATATTCCATGGTAAAGATATGTTGAATAAGCAAAATATTTTTAAGTTGTCAGCATTATAAGTAAACACAGGTTGAGCATCCCTAATCTGCAAATCCAAAATGCTCCAAATTCAAAACTTTCTGTGTACCGACATGGTGCCACAAGTGGAAAATTCCACATCTGACCTCATGTGGTGGATTGCAGTCTAAGTGCACTGTGAAGTACTTTTGTGTGAGTAAGCATAAGAAAATGATTGCTTAGTGGTAGCATATAAATTCAGAGTCAGGAATGATGGTGATGCCAAACAGTCTCAGATCATCCACATGGGTGGCTGAGGTAGTGACACCTTTGCTTTC